GCAAAAGGCATATTTTGTCCTATTCTCAGCTCTTGAAGGTGTTGTGTGCTATTATGTGGGATTTTGAAATGGTACAAACCACATAAAAGTGGCATAACTCACTCAGTATCCATCCAAAACTAATGGTGTGTTAATATAAAATGTTTAGAAGTGGATGTCAATATGATTTGAAAATAAAGTGTTCCACATATCTTCAGTACTTGAGGGTCTTATGGGCTATTTGATAGAGTTTTGAAATGGTACATACCACTTACAAGTTGTATAACTCGTGTGATATGACTCCAAATATGACAATGTGACATTGAGAAAAGTTCGAAATGGTTATTTGATATTAGTTTGAAGTAGAGTTTTTGTCGCATTCCCAGTCCTTGAACTCCATATGTACTTTTATGTGTGGATTTTCAAAATGACATAAACCACATAAAGTGGTATCAATCATTCAATATTGTTTCAAACGTCATGGTGTATTGATAAATTATATTCAGAAACTAATTTTATATTGAGTTTAATATGACATTTCTGAATTTTTTGTGGTTTTTGATGGACCTCAGGGGCAAAATGGCTTCTTACACACTTTTATGCATGCCCATATCTCCGGCAATTTTGGTTTGAATGTGTTTCTGACAGTTGCATTGGATTTTTGAGGTTTTTTAACGGGAAGTTTATTATTGACATATGATCCCCAAAATCACTTTGAAATCTGACTGAATTTTCATCTTCAAAAAGTGATAAACATCGTGTTTCCACACTGAATATGCCAACATGAGATTATCCAGGCATATGAGTGAGGGTGAGTTGGGCAAAATGGTGGTTCATCAGTCTTTTAAATGCATCTCCAAGCATTCATTAACATAAATCATCACTCATTCTCCTGTCACCACCAAGTTAATTTTTTTTGAGCTCTCAATAACAACATCTTACCCCCCTCTATGTGGTTTTTACGGGCGGGCTATACAAACATAAAATTCTCCAAAACACAAGATTTAATTGTGGTATGTGTTCATAAATGCATGCCATAAAATTATGAACATAGGACAGTGAACTCTCCTGCTTCAAACATGAGTCATTCTTGTGACATCCATGCAGTAACAAAAGAAGTGCACATGATAGTGTTTTTGAGTCATCACACCGACCATGCAGCCAGTTTTGGAGTAAAAAAATGAGATAGTTCGTGGCTCTTTAGTCATGGGTAAATTAGCAAACACTGTAAAAGCTGAACACTTTCTTATCTCCAATTGTGAAAGAGGTGTCCAGTATTGTAAGTGTTTTGGCATATCAAGATGCTAGATCAAAGATATCAATCATTTGTCTGCTCTCATCAGGGCTTTACCTTTGATGGATTTACCATCACAATGTGGTTCCTTGATGACCAGTGATTGTCCACTGTCTCGATCCTCAAGTCTAGAGAAAAATTGGGCTCATTATCAGAGTATTACCATAGCGTATAACAGCATGATTCCATAGCTGATTCCATATTGCATACAACAACACAAAAACAATTGAATTATCAAAGTATTACCATAGCGTATAACATCATGATTCCATAGCTGAATCCATATGCTGAATCCATATCGCATGCAACAACACAAAAACAATTGATAACAACATCTCATCTGATTTCTAAAATTCATTTTGATTAATCAGCTTTAGGAGGCTGAAGATAATCAAATCAATCATTGATATGAACAATTGAGGGATTGAGAAGATCCCAATCCGGATTGTATCATCCATCCCGATTGGGATTTGCCATTTCAATCGGTTATAACTGACGTACAAGGCCACTAGTCTAGACTCTAAGGGTAATTTGATTGGTTCCTGTCATAACCAACTCAATAGACTAAACGTAATGAGTCCCTTTATTGACCCATTTTTTTACCTCTATCATAATTAACTTGTTCACATCTTGAACTCTCAGGACACTCCCCTCTCCAACTTTATTAACGTTGTGAAATTACACATCATCACTCATAATCGATCATCGATCATGGCCTTACCTGGACAAGAGATTCAAAACCCAAAAAACAAGAAGAGGAAGAGCAAGGGTCGCGGCAAATCAAGGTTAGCGAAGCTTTTGAAAACAATTGAAACAGGAGAAGGCGAGGTGTCCGCTGCTGCGGTCAATGGCTTATTGGGAGAGGGAAGATCAAACACACCAATACAGGATGAACTTTGTATCTACGAGGCCGGCCAAGATGGAGATTGGACAGACAATGAAGTCAAAGACGATCATCCGTATGTCTCTTACAAAGAAAGAACGCAACGTGAGCAAGCGCAGTGGACAAAAGCTCTTCCAAGTATGTTTATCGAATTCATGAAGTGCTCAAAGAAAACATACCAGTGGGGGGATGAAACCATTTGGAACCAGGATTGGAAGACCGCTTGCCAATGCACAGATGTGAGGGAACGGTCGGTCGATGTCGTTGATATCACAAGTAAGAAGTTCATTTTCATGTAGAGATGTACGTTATCAATGAATTTTATATATCATGTATTTTGCAGGTCGAAAGAAGATCACCGTTAATTTTTGCTCTTGCCAGTTGGACTGTGTTCGACTTGTGCAAATGGGGTTGATGGGAGCCACCACAAAAAACCCAGTTACTGCCTTTACAATCCGCCTTCTACGACTGCATCACATTCTATGGAAACTATGCCGTATCCGAATAGCCCCATTCTGCTTGGCCCTCAATGAGTATCTCGATGCTAGGAATGCTATTTTCATTTCTAAAGACGGTGAAGGGGATCGAGTATGTCATTCCTTTCAAGCACAGATGATTTGGCAACTGATCATATACGTATTTTCTAGCCACGCGAGTGGCGGAAACCGTTTACTTTGGCTGTTGATGCATATCGAGACATGCTTCGTCTTGAAGCTGAACTTACAACAAAAGCCCTCAAACTTACCTCAGTAGAACAGCTGGCTTCCAACTGTCCTCGCTGCTATGGACCCATCGTCAAAGGCAAAAGAGAGGCAGAGCCGGACTATATTGTCTGCATGGACGGAAACTTTCAGCACCGTCGACATAAGCTAGCCAGTGCAGCGTGGCGTGAGACTACAGCTGTTCCGCCACTTTTTATGCCTCAGAACACTGTTGATGGATGGGATGTCCGTTATACTGAAGGCACCAAGAAACAAAAAAAAACACTACACCCATTGTGAGTCTGAGAATTCACCAAACAATCATTACAAGTTTTCAAAACCATACATGTTTTGTTTTCTAGGATCCATGTACTGCTAGTCACACTGCTGCTGACGATGCAAGAGGTGGCCAGACTTGGCGTGGGTGTGACGAAACCGGCTTATTCGGGATGGCTTGCCGACACGACCACGTGTTGAAGTTTATCAACATTGTACAGAGTGGAGAACGGTACAATACCTTGTTCACTTTTTTTTTTCTTTGCTTATACATATGCTTTTACCAGAGGCCATTTTCCACTAGCCATGATTGACTGGCTATTAAACGAGGTAGATCCTGAAGAAAAAGACACGAAGAAAAAGGTTGCAATACTATATGATATTGGTTGTACTTTGGAAAGAGGGATGGAGATAGTACGTTGTGAAATCCAATGTTATGTCTTACAGATATGATAATAATCTGATGTTTTTTATTTATTAAATTCAACTTCAATTTTCCAGAGGAATTTATTTAAAGACAAGCGTGAAGCCGGTCGATTCAAGTTTGGAACTGGTGCCTGGCATTCTTATGCACACATAAGATCTTGCCAAATCAAGTACAACCCTCAATTGAATACTGACTGGGGAATGTCAGATGGAGAGGGATTGGAGCGTATTTGGTCGGAACTACGCGATCTGATTGCCGTTTTACGATCCTCAACAAAGGACCATCGACTCTGGGCATTGCACCTTCAAGCAGTCTTTTTTAATGAGCGAGGAAGACTAAATAGTGGTTAGTATTTTGAGTCATAACTTTTATGTATGGTAAACACGCCACCTGAAGATCTATAAATTTCTGCTAGTTGATTCCATGATGCTGCGTATGAAGGACATGAAGAAACTGTTTACCGACAGCCAGATGAAACTCGATAGACTTCTTCAAGACCCCGGTTACACTATTGAGTACATCAAGGCGCAATGGGCGAGGCAACGTGAATGCCAGCTTAAAGCTATCGACACTGGAAGCATGAAGGCGTTGACGGAGAAAGTAGCTCATTTGGTAGGGTTGGAAGAGAACTTGTACGAATCACAGTAAGTAGGTACTGATACAATTTGATTATCAGTCATCTAATGTTGCTGTTGATTACAGACAAGAGCTCAGGGAACTTCGGCGCCAACGGCGCCACATTCGAAGTGAAGCCAATGAGGAACGCATCATGTGTCTGCCTAACTCACTTACTCTGATTGAAGAGGAGATCAATTCTGTGATTTCCGAACTTGGAGCTGAAGAGTTCCGAAATATTCCGGGTGCAGCAAGTGAGTCACTATTTGACTCAATTCTCAGTTTTTTCAATTAATAACTACCAATTGTATAATTCAGGCGCGCATGGTAAAAGTGTTATCAGAATCAGAGTCTCAAAGGGGAGGCTGTATGAGGCAAAGGTCGGAGTTTTGGAAGAATCGAAGCAAGCAAATCTCAGGGCAGGTAAGTGATAGCTCACTGAGATTTTGAAAGGAAAAATCCGCATCAAGAATTGATTTATTTCATCTGTAGGAACTCGTCATCTACAAAGGCATACACAACTACTACGATCTAAGGAAGCAGAGTTGAGAAAAAAATACCGAGCCTATGAGCGCCAGGTTTCCGGACACAACAAGTCCTTTCCTAGGAAACAAATCGAATGCCCCGAGTTTGAAGACATGAAGTCCTTACCAATTGACGATAGTTTTTGGGATTTTGGTCACTTGACTCACCCAGAAGAACCATGGGCAACTGATTCAAGATTACAAGACGGGATCAAGTGGTACCTTGAAGTGACTCATTCCAAGGACGAGTTGCGCAGAGTCGGCCGGGAGTGTAGGCAGTCGATGAATTGGGCCATAGAGACCAACAAAAAGATTTCAGATCTCAAGAACATCGTATACAGCAATGGTAAGAAAACGGCTTTTTTTTACGTGACTCTAGTTTAATCTTTCTTTGTTCACTAGATGACACACTTGAGAACGAGAACAACAAATGGGTTATGGGGCTTTTGATGTCAGATCGCGCTCATACTAAGGAGTGGTTGGCTGAGTGCAGGGAAGTTCTCATGTCTTTGCTCTCCAATTTGACTCAAACACACTGTCGGTTGTGGATGAGTTGGAATCGTAGATTATCCACAGTACTATCTGAAACACGGCATGATACAAATTTATCGATTGCTGAGGAAGAAACACGCAAAAAACAGTGGGATGGTGTGATTGTTCATGTCAAAGAGGTGTGGGAAACTATTGTACAGGCTCCAAACATTACAGCGGAAGACGTTGACTCTGATGTTGAAGAGATTGAAGGATTGCTTGACGTCGATGAACTCCTTGGTGGTATTGATCCTTATGAAATGGTCAATCCGAATGAAGATCTGGTTTGATTTCAATTGTATCATCTTGATTAAGTGTTTCGTTTCAAGGGTTTCATGAGTGTAGTTGATTGTGTTGTATGTTGTTTCATCGTTCATAACTCGGTCCTTTTGATTCGATTGAAAAGTTCGGTAATGAGTTGTGTAAAGATATTCATTTGTTGAACATCAAAGATTTGTTTGTTGAGTGCTTTGTTGACATCGGTTTTGGCTTGATAGCCGCGTTGAGGATTGTTGGATTATAAGTACATTGAGACCGTTTGTCGTTGATACCATTCCAGAAGACAATGTGAGCAGTGAATGGGTTCAACTCGTTGGTTGAAACTGGTTCATTCAGTTCGTTTGTGTTGGAGTTGAAAGGATCAATGAAAGTTCATTTGACTTGTGATATGTTGGACTGGTGAGAAGTCGCTCAGACTGATCTGAGTAAAATTACAATCTGGGAGCAAGATTGGTCTGGGGCTTGGAGCATTCTGTGGACTGATCTGAGATCACTCAGATCAATCTGAGCGCGTTCATCAGATCAATCTGAGAGCGCGCAGATTGATCTGAGATCACTCAGATTGATCTGAGAGTGCGCAGATTGATCTGAGAGTCCTCAGACTGATCTGAGTGATCTGACCTCTGTGCTCTTTGTGAATTCAACTTTTGATATAAGTCAAAAGTTGACAAAAATGGTGCTATGGACACTTCTGATACACAAATTTTTTTTGGGAACTTGTAGTTGACTTTGTGAGTGTGGAAAAGGTGGGATAGTTTTGATCTAGATGATCTAGCGTGATCTAGCACAGAGGTTCAAGTCCGGGTCCGATGAAAGTGCGCACCGTTTCATGGGGTGCGTGCTCGAAAGTTTAAGGCGCCACAGGTGAGCTAACCACCTGAAGCACCGGTGCCTGCAGCGGAGACCTGCAGCAAAGAACTTTCCGGAGCGGACAAGCTTTTCAGCACATCTTCAAATGGGGTTCTCAAGAACAGCATTGATCACCAGCATGCGCGCCAACTCCAATTTTATGTACTCCGACTATCCCTGGTGATCTTGCAAGTACATATGTCAGCCCTGAGTACATATACATGTACCCAAAACTAACCTCTAACAGTAAAAACACTATGTATAAAATTAATTACATGTTACATACTGAGCATAGACTGTATGTAACATGTAATACTATGTATCAAAACCTTTATTACATATACATGAACCCGTAAATCAGGATGGGGGCGCAGCCTTAAAAAAAGGCGCGCCCTGGCGTGTTTTTGTGAAAAAGGGTGTGTCTAGGCGCCACTGGCGCGTCAGACGCGGCCTGTCACCGCGCGAAAATGAAAAAACATGAAAAAAATGCAAAAAAAACCACAAAATGCATTTTAACCAACCTTAAATACATATTTGTTGCTGATAAGGTGGAAGATGGATTGTTTGAAGGTCTATTGTTAATTGAAGTTGATTCATACAACAACTTGAAATGGATTTTATAAGAGAATAAACATGCGGAAAGCCCGACTTTCTCACTATGAGGCATACAGGCCTTTGGGCGCGCTCACCTTGTTTCCGAGATGTTTAGGCGTGCCCTGCGCCCAGGCGCGTGGTGTGCGCCTGGGCGCGTTATTTTTTTTGTGCCCCCATCCTGACCCGTAAAACAGCATGTAATATGTAACAAAACACCCTTTACACCTCATAACTCAGTGTCAAGAGTTAAAATGCTTATATTACATATCACACACAACATGTATATGTAATTGAGCATCACTAGTAATAATCATTAACATATAGTAATGATTAACCCTGAACCAATGTAGTGATAATAACAAATACCACTACAGTTAGGTTTAGAGAGGAGAGTATATAAACCCATCCTCTCTCAGCCTTCAGAGATACTCCCCCAAGCAATAATTACCCACTACTTTCAAAGAACAATTAAAGTTCAACTGAAGTAAAAATCAAGAGTCTTATATATAAATAAGACTAGTGATAAGCTTCATCAACTCTAATCAGCTTCCTGATCAAAAGTAGGTAATACATTCTTCACTCCCCTCTGGATCCTCTACTTCCCCCAAGTAGAAACCCAATTAAGGCTAGTGACCTCCAACCACTCCAGGCTAGTGACCTTACAAAGAACTTCAGGCTGGTGACCTTAAGAACAACCCCAAGTTGGTGACTTTAAGGACAACCAGATTGGTGAACTAAATCACTCTTTGATCTGTTACTATCATTCAAGTTAAAGGTAGACCGCGTTCGCCGGCAAAACCTGATTAAACTCCCAATCCCTACTACCAATTTTCAGGTTTACACGTTCAGCACATTTAATCTGATTTCCACACGCCTCACCCCAAAATTCAGATTCCTCATTCCTCTTATCATATAAATCCTTCATCACCTACCAATCTCCACACAATTCTCCAGCTTGCCGCATATACCTGCCAGACCACTCCATCTGAGTACTTATCTATCATCAATCCATCCGAACAAATCAATTGAAACTTCCTTCAAAACCCCACAAGGCAGCCCAAACTCACACTTTGTCAGGGTTGTGGTTGTTTTGGTACTCGATCACGGTGAGCTTGATTTCACCCTTCTCTAGACTTTCACGGAATGTTGTTTAAACTGACTGCAACTCTTCAGTATGCGTAGATATCTTTGTATCAATCGTCCCACATACAACAAGCTTTAGCTCTTTGGACTCTACCCAAGGACCGATTCATCAAATCCTAGCGGTCGATATTTTCTGTCTCACTTCTACTGCATTCGATCACTACCGAGGCTTTACTTTCAATAATAATGAGTCAAATGAATGTATCTATGGCTATCCATCAGTCATTGGGCTAAAGAAAATAATGTCAAATGGTCAATTCTATCATACAACTGAATATGATCTCTCATCTCGACTTCAAGCAAGACTTTCACAAATGAATTTGATCAATTGACAAATCACTGCATCCAATCAGTTCTGGAATCAAAGGCAAAATGAAATTTTCAATCAGATATACCGATCAGATTTTTCATTGAGTTATTTCATTGGTTGATCTTTCAGTCGTCTATCAGACTTATACCTATCAGTACAAGTTTGGGTAGATAATCAATCATTAACAATACCATTTTACGCTCCTCACAAGACATTCACAAGTTCTTATATATCAGTTTAATCATTTAATCAATCCCAGTTGAGATTCAATCAATTAATCTAACTCAATGGCTCGCACATGTTGAAGCCTTAATAAATCCAATTTCTTATTAAATGGCCTTCTCCAATCACATCAAAAATCAAATATTGAGATTTACCACATTCAGCTCAATTAACTTTCAATGTATCCGATGTGATCAACTACTCTATGATCTTTAATACGGAATCTGATTCAAATCATCGCACTGATTTATTCTTATTCAAGAATTGCAAAATCATGAGTGGTACTACTCTTAGCCTTTTTGAAAAAAGAGAATTTTGAGAAAGGGAGAACCTAGGTGCCTTCTTCATGTCAGTACCATCGTAACTGCTTGAATTTGAAGTTGTCAGCTGTTAATGTTGAATTCAATTCGTTGGATTTGGTTACCATCGACAGCGTTACTTGGCTCTCAAAGGGTTGGAACTAGGTTCGATAGGCGTGGGAGATTATAATGGAAACATGGCAAATTTTGTCGAGACCGAGACTGCTACACACAGGTGCTGCTCTCTTTTCCTAGGACCAAATGCAAGGATCGGTACCATTATTTTCCAAACAGAGTGGTACTAGAATCAAAAATGTGACAAATTTAACTTACACAGATAGGTGTGGTTACTCAACCAGCCTTAGAACGTCTTGAAGATCGCTTAAGCCAGCATTTGGTTGTTCAAGCTGTTGACTTATTAAGCTGTTTTGCTGGTAATGGAGCTGCCCTCAAACATTGTGAGCAGATGTGAGAAATGTGCGTTAATCTCTCAAAGTCAACTTGGAACTGACACCTGGACGACACATAATGGAGATGGTTTATCCAACGTATTTGCTGGAGCTGGAGCTCTGAATACTAGCTTCACTCAAGGTGGGAAACCAACATTTGCTGGTCAGTTTATCAATGCAGTATCCTTGACCATCCTGTCATTCAACCACTGTTTTTTTCTTCGTGAGGCAGGTGTGTTATCAAATGCATCAAAGTTTGTTGTTAGTTGTGAATGGATGTTAAGTGTTTTCATTCAATGGAATGGCAATCTTGTAAGTCATTCTCTCTTGACATGTATCAAAATCAAAATCTATCAATTTCAATTTTGATTCTTATTTTGGTTTAGTTTTATGTTGTATTATTTGATGAAATAGAATTAAGCAAAAAACACTTTAGAATTTCATGAAAAATGCATAAAATGAATGAAGAAATTGAATTACATGAAAGATGTGAATCAACTTTTGATTCATCCATTAAGAAACTTGAAACTTGTTTAGATGTGAAAGTTTAATTATTATAGATTTAATCTGAGTTCTTTCATTAGAACTTGAACCTCATCTTTCAAAGTAAGTTATCAAAAACTGATTTTATTTCTTTCAATCTTTAAAATGAATGAAATCATTTAAAACTTCAAATCCAGATTTTGAATCCATTTTGTTTGATTTTTTGACTTGTTCAATTTTTAGATGACAGAATTTAGAACCAAGTACTACCACAGGAGAAGAAGAAGGCAGTTCACAAAACTTGAACCTTGAAACCTGAATCAATTAAACCATTAAAAATCTGGACTCATTCAGTTAAATCACTAATTAGATTAATTCAAGAAAGAAAACAAGAATCATTGTATTTAAAAAATTGGTCAAGATTTATCCAATTTGATTTTGAATAAAACTATATTCAACAGGGTTACAATCAGGTCTATAACTTCAAATGGAGGTCATCAATTAAAATTTGATGTTGAGGATTGTTGGATTAATACAATAAAAGAAAATTGAAATTTGTGAAATTGGTTGAAGAAGATTATTTGATGCTATTGAACTTTTATCTTTAAAATATAGTTTTGATAATCAAAGTTTGTGAAATTTGTCTTGATGAAGACAAAATCAAGGATCATGAAATTATGGGAAAAGAGTTAAGAATTGATGGGAATGGGTTGAATTATACAGAGAAAGTATGTGCTGTTTCAAGGAGAAGACAGGTATCATTGCCGGCAGTGAGTCTTAGATGTATTGTTGCAAATTTACAAAAAAACAATCACAGAATCTCCATGGTCATTGTTGATTGTGAATGTAGAATCCTTTAACCCAATGGGGATGTACATGTTATTGTGTTTCTACATAAGAAGATGATCTCATTTTACTGTTGTTGTAGATCATTTGGTTAAGATACACAGTGTTCACTTGATCTTAGTGAGTATGTGAAGATGGTACATCCACAATCTGTTCATTTGAGTATGATAAGGTGGTTGTGTATTTTGGAAGCCACTGTACAATCGGCAATGGAAAAGATTGATGGGATTGGCACTATGTCAGACACTGGTATCTAAATTGGCAGGAATGGCTGGTGTTCAGGCCAATGTGAGCCATTGATGCGGCGCCCGCCGCCCAGTTGTGCTAGTAAGGATTAAAGGAAGGTCCTGGATCCAACCTTCAATTAAAATAATATTAATTTATTATAAATTATAAATCTCCTCCTTAGGAGTCAATCAACTGAAGTCTGTCTGGGTTTATCCAAACAGACTGTCAGTCCCCTTTTTTCCTCTTCTCCCTTCCTTTTTTCTTCTTTACTTCAAATTGTAAATACTACATATTTGAAATGAAAGGAGTAAAATCAAGTAAAACCTACCAATTGCCCATCTTGTGAGCATTGAGCACTCCCAAGAGAGTACCCAACCCTCACAACATATCACACAACAGCCTTTGCAGTATAATCACGACACCAACAATACCCATGGGATGACTGTCAATTCCACAAAGCTTGCCGAACTTCCAGCACCGATTTCCTCGAGTTTTGCTGAAAAACCTGTTCACAATTGGACAAGTTTTTTGAAATTCACAGGGAATGAATGACAGACCCCATCGCAACACCAATATCACTTCTAATTCAAATAACAATGACGAAATTGATACCAACAATAATGTCACCAAAAAATAATCAACTGTCTGGGGGGCGGTAATCAAATTGCCTCTAGTATTGCAAGGTAGAAATAGCTGAGCTCAATCACATAAATAGTCCTCTCATCGAGTGTTGTCTGTTGTCCCCTGCCCCCACAAAAACTTTTGTTATCAGCTCTATAGAACTTTGTTTGGCTTTGATAAAGCATCCGGACTATAACACACAACTTCTGTCTTCCTCTCCAATTGGTTTCTTACATACCCTTCTCAATTCTAGAGCTCAAGTGTCTAAGCGCGAAGATATGGTTTGTGATTCCCACTTGGTTCCCCTTGCTTCTTCAACTGACTGATTTGTGCCCTTACAGCCACGCCTGGTTATGGCAATTGTTGTTATGCAGTTTTTGGCTCTTTTTCTGTTTGGAACTGTTGCACCCTCACCCAATGTGTGTCCTTGATCAACCTTTGACAACAAGTATTGCATCTAATTCTCCACACTGAAGATTTTATTGACTCTGAAATACCCAGACAAAGCTTCAGAAGTGAACATGTCCTGATAGTATTACATACTGCGCAATATCTCCCGGGTGTGCCTTTTGCAATGGTAAATGTGGTAAGCCTCATTCACTTTCTTATATTATTGCGCTGTGAATCGATTGGTTGCCAAAAAAATCATTCAGTTCCACAAGGAAGCTGTTGATAGCACGATTCAAACAATTCCCTTGCTTGCTTAATTACTTGTATCAATTTGTGGCGCCCTCATTTCAAGTTCTTGGATTTGAAGTCTCGCATCCTAGTTGTTCAAACCAAGTATATGATTCTAAGATCAGTTTTGAAGTTGTGTTCACATTCATGACCATGTTGGAAGTGGCCCTACAGCCATCTATGTGAAGGGTTTTGTTTCACCTTTTTGGTCCAAGATGTGATCTGAAATGTTATGTCCACGCTGTCTATGAATTCAATGCCTTGAGTTCTTGAGTTCAGTCATCAAGAATGACTCGACTTGTGTACATGGAGCATCAAAACATCAACTGTGTGAGCATGTGAATGAGGAATAAGAATCATCCAGTGGTCCCCAGATACTGAATACTTAGATCGAGTTCATCATGATGCAAGTCTCAGCACTGGTTCAAGTTCAACCACCCCAAAAATGGCTTTTTCCCTTTCTACTTTGCTGATTTACCTAAGAAGACCCTCTTATCATCATATTCCATCCGACCACTTCACTCAAATCATCTTGACTATGATGCCCCATTTTTTCATACACGTGTCTGTTGTTGGTGCCTTCTTTTAATTATCTTTTGATGTTCTTATATCATCTCTTACTTTAGTCGTTTCATTTTATTCTCAGCTTTCTTTAATTATTTCTGTTAGCTGTTATGTCTTCTTTCTGTCAACCAAACTTTTTCAACCGCTTCTACAAACTCATTACAAACGTGTTTGCTACCGTCATCCCTTGCAGATTTATCTACGCGTAAGTAAATAAACCACCCACATTCGTCTTCGACGTTCACCCCAAAACTGATTCTTCCATCAATAAATAAAACACAAAACCCTTCACAAGAGATGAACAGCCGAGCCACCTTTTGAGATGAATTCTTCACTTTTACAATGTCAAATTGACAACTAATAAGAGTCGGCCATGTTTATCATTACACAGAAGTACAATATTAGCTGGGTCCAAGTGGGCTGCAAAGTGCTTGTAAGTTTATGCACTTGGACCTTCCAGCCCTTCAAGAATCAATTTTTTGAAAAATAAACTTGCCAAGAATGTGCATCTCAGGTGGGGCTTTCCAATATTTATTTTCAAAATCAAATTTTGAAGCAGCATTTTTGATGTAAGAAAAGTTTCATTTTAGCCATATTTCCAACTTGAACCCTAGCTTGAAGGCCCGCTATTGTGTCATTTCCTTATCCGACACCAATATCAAAGAAGTTGTTTACTTCAAGTTATTACCAAACATGATCACATAACATAATTACTGCCCTTACATTGTCTCTAATCAAACAATTCCAAACCCCAACTTTGACCAGCTCAAACAAATCCAACTAATACCATATCAGCCCATAAACTCAATCCTCATTATTAGGTCTTTGTACTTTCAAGCAAACAGCTGATCACTTATGCATTGCAGATCTTATACCGCTGCTTCGGCTTTGCATACATTACATACCCGTAACATCTCAAAACTCCTACCCATGGGCAAATTCTGTTCCGTCATATTTGGTCACAATTGTGACTGAGCATTATTTGAGCACTTGTTCATGAGGACTGCGGTTTTGGTCTTCTAAATTGAAGACCAGGTCAAAAGTTTACATGCGATTTCGGTCTTTTTACCCCTCTCACCATTAGGGCATTCCAGGCGATGCTGACAGGATGGAATTTGAACCGTTCTAAACCTCTTTTTTGACTGGGAGGAACATCCTGTCGCTCGAGCCGGAGTATATACATGGGCTCGAGTGCGTCACTCAAAGTCACACAGTGCCCGCGCATCCGCAGTGCCTGCGGCCGTGTATGCACTTGAGCACAACGTGACTTCGAGTGACGCGCTCCGGCCTACATACTCCGGCCTACTCCGGCTTCTTTACCCCACAAACGTCAATGTGCATCTTCAACGTTGTTCAAGATCCTGACGATGACATCATTCAGGATTTCTAACTTTCTTACCCCATCCGACCCTCCCTGTCAGGCTGTCTCCAAGGATGATGACGAGATCGATGACGTGATGTACAAACTACGAATCGAAACTCTTTTTTATAAACCAAATCGACTTGCTCAGCACTCAGCTTGACGAGCTCTATCATCCAGGTGTTTTTTTTTCTTTCTAACGATAGACTTTACAATCACATCATCTAATTATGTTTTCCTATGCATCTCGCAAACATCATCACCCTAGCCCCTACCCCTCACCCCCTCGTCTTTTTTCCCCTTTATTTTACCATATTTTTCTTGTATGTAGGGACACTTTTTCGGTTATCGGTTACTAAGACGTTTTTTAAATTATTTTTATTAATTAGTTTGTTCAAGCCTTGCAAACATTTCCTCACAAAGTTCATTCGAAATTACAGTGTTCATAAACATCACTGTTTTCAAAGATGGACGTCAAATCATGGTTCAGTCTTATTGTTTATCTCAATAAGTTATTCGGAGGACTTAAACCTGCGAGTGGCCATGTTGTCAATCTTATGAAGTCTAATTGACGACTAGGTTCAAAGTCTAAAATTGAAGAAATGGAGATGTAAAAAGATAATCAGGCTTTAAGCTATATTGTAGGCTGTGATTATTCAGGCTGTGATACTTGAGAAACAAAAGTGTAATTTATTTTAGGTGCAAAGAAATTGGAGGGATTAACATATGCACAAACTTGCAACAAGAACCTAAGAACCACTTCTCGCACTGTTACATTTTTCATTTTCAAGGACTTGATGAATATGACTTTTTGATACCCACAACATGTCATACAAACCAACTAGCGACAAATTCCCTTCTCCACAAAATCCAAGAGAAATAATTTTTAGTCTTAAAAATTGTTCGGCTTCGAATGTTCTTTTGTTACATCACATTGTACCATTATTGTATGGAGATACCGACCGAGACAATTAGGCCCTCGCCCCGGTCGATCCCCGTCCCCGAAACCGGGGTCGGGGATCATTCCCCGAATTAGGGGTCGGGGAATGATCCCCGCCCCCGAAATCGGGGATCGGGGATCAATCGGGGAATTTCGGGGAATAGAGCATTTTCCCAGAACAAAAAACAAACGATCGTCCATTACCCAACAAGATACCTTCACCGATATCATCTAACCTCAAACAAGATCAAGTGGAAAGGATCATTAGATCCTCACATTCTTCAAAAACCAATCAAAAAAAATATTCAAAATGGAAGCATGTCAAAAAAGTTAGGTTGTAAATTAGTAATCCAATCTCTATCATGATTGATTCATTGAATCATCATTTTTGAACGTTTTGAGCTAATTCTTTTGGATTTCATCATCCGTTCACTTTTAGATTCCTTTACCCAGATATTTAAATTCATCCGACTGTATTCACTTCAAAAATCATCATACTGACTCAAAAGACAAAATTCATCGAGTAGTGATTCAACCTTGCCAATTTGTTTTTTTTGTTGTTCTAACTTCTTGAAATGCAATCCAATTATGAAGGAATACATTATATCAAGTTTTGATAGCTTTACTTCAAGATCTCCTAAACTTTGATCGATGTGATTCTTTTGATGTGGAAATGAGATTGAAGTGATTCTTTTGTTTTGGAAATGAGATTGAAGTGAACTGATCAGTTCTAGTTTTGATAGTTGTGCTTCGAGATCTTCTAAGCTTTGATCGATCTGATTCGAATTCACCACTGCGTGCCGAGTTCATGATCCTTTAGGAGTCATTTGAACTTCAAAGACTCATCTGACTACGATTCTTCATGATCCATTCGGGGAATCCCCGGCATTCCCCGATCCCCGTCCCCTAAATAGGGGACGGGGATCGCCCCCCGTCCCCTAGGGGTAACTTCGGGGATCCCCGAATCATTCGGGGACGGGGCGAGGGCCTAGAGACAATAGACTGCCCAGTGCCTAGACTCAGACTGCCGTTGAGGCTGGACAGGGTGGACTGCCCGAAAAGTTTAACTTGTAAATAAATTACACTTGATTTTGAAACATAAACAGAAAACGTCATTTTGAGGATTGTGTCCGATAATTTATGTAAGCGTGTAACTACACTTGGAGGAACAGAACTTCCCCAGACCCCACAGCCGCCATCTGTTTTTCAAATTGAGATAGATAAGCGACATAAGCGATACAGCAAAGTCAAATGTACAGCATCGTAAACTCAATATAGAAGATCATAGAATTCATCATCATCATCATCAAGCATCGGGTGAAGCATCATCATCATCATCATCATCATCATTCACTTACCCTTGATATGTACAATAGAAACTCAAAATATTTTACCATTTAGAATTCAATTCAATCAACAAAATCCTCAAGACATTTTACCCCGGAGTGGAATCGACTTGTTAATCAGAGAAATGTCAAAATTAGAAAAATCTTGATCACAAGACTCATGAAGAATTCAACGTGATATTTGACATGTATTACATATATCTTTTAAATTGAATTTCTATAAGAATAAATTTAATTTATTTCCAAGATTTCTTCGTTTGGTTGATCACCAGATCAAAACATTTAATATGCATCGTTCGGTGATACAAGAAAACTTTTCTCGTTCCTCACTTCATTCACTTTCCAATACAGCATATCATCGATTTTATTGTTAAATACAAGGAAGTTCTCAAAACCCTTTCTCAATCTCTTCTTGAATTAAAAAGCTCAAAAAAAACACTAGCTCAAGAGACGTTGCAGACTTGATTGAATCCTGAATTCCATACTTACTTGCTCTTCTTGATCATTAAAATTAATCTCTACCTCAAAGAATACCTTCTCCAAGGAACTTCTTTGTAGTTTTTTTTCTCAAATTCTTTCAAAGCAAGCTTTTTGGATCTCCATTGAAAGAACACAAGAAAGAGGACTTTTGTTTTTGGACTTTCCTTATCACAGGCATATATTTTAATTATTGGGATATTTGAAAATCATACCGTCAAATCCATCAATCTTCTCTCCTGGCTCCTGGATTAAAGTTCGGGTTAGTGATCTTGAATTTGAATTTGAATTTTCCAAGGATTTATACCCCACATTTTTCCTATTTTTTCTCTCTCTCTCTTGCGGAATCTCGCTTTCCGTAAATCTGCGTAAAACGTTCTTGTACAACCACAATATCCACCCTTGTAGAATTTATGCCCTTTACACAAATATGTATTATACTCTCTGTCTCTCTGTACCTCGCCTAATTCATAACTCTCGTGATTGGTAGGTCAGCTGGTTTTTGTAATAGATGATTTTCAATTGATTTTTTGTATCATTCATCTTCATCATTCTGTCTTAATCCTGGGGAAACTTTGCTGATCTTTGTGTACTGTTAAGCTTTCTCTGAGTCACCTTTTCTACATTTAAAAAGACTCAACATCATCGCACTTTCCTCAAAGAGAACAGGATTGATCATTTTTTAGCAATTTGATTATTAGCATTGCGTTGATCTTATTACCTACACTGTTTTGATTCTTATCAATTAAACTCTCAAACAGTTTCTCACATTCCTCTATTTACTATTCAAAATTCCTCTCTATCTTATTGGTAGTTTTCGGCTTTTCGTCTTCATCTTTTCAGATCTTATATCTCGTAGCTCTCTTGCTTTTTTTTGACAAACAAGCTTGATCTTTTTTCTTTTATAAGACTCACTTTTTTCAAACCCATTTGATTTCTTATTATTCCTCCATTATTTCTTTTCATTAGTCGGTGACTTGATAAAAGATTTCGAAGAGCACACATATAATTCGAAATCCGAGGCAAGAATCAGTTCAAAAGATTGATTCGAATATCCCAAGTTGATCAACTAGAAGTAAATCATATACCAGTAAATCCAAGATATCACCATCGAGGATCAATTTAAATGTGAGTTTGAATTTTATGGAACAGCTTCATTTGTTCCCTTTGATCCATTTAAATGTGATGATAGAGCGTCAAACAAATTGATCGATCATTCATCTTTCTCAACTGTTTTACAAACAGCATAAAGCATTCTCTCCGCCAAATATTCAACTGGTTAGTTACATTCATATTGAGCTTATATGCATATATATCCTTTCTTGCATGGATATTTGAAATTCTTCCAGTTTAAACTTTTTCGGGATTTAATTCAAAACCATTTCACTGACTTCTTTGTTTGATCCTCGCAGATATCCTCGTAGTAAAACCTATCAAGTTGAAGATCAAGTTTTCTCATCTTGAGATCTCTTACTTTTTTATGCGTAATCTTTTCAAACACAAGAAAAAGGAGATCAATTTACCAACATAATTTAGTATCGTGAATCTAAAAGTTTAGAAGACATCTTGATATACTTAAGAAATGCTTATCTCTCCACAATCAACTCGACCTTCATTGAGGTCAAAACAAGATCAAACAACAAATACTTGTAGAAGATCATATCAATTAAATCAAAACATACCAAGATCAATTTCGATTAAAAAACAAATCACAGAAAGAAATCAATTACCGTTTATCTTAGTAACCGGTGCAACAGGTTATATTGGATCACATGTAATACTTGAACTTTTACGTACTAAAAAATATCAAATCATTGCAATTGATAATTTATCAAATTCTTCTTTATCTTCAATTTTAAAAATTAAATCTTTATGTAAAGAAGAATCTAATTTATTAAGATTTCATCAAATTGATTTAAGAGATCAAACTTCATTATTAAATTTATTTAAATTTTATAGAAAGAAATCAATTCCTACCCAGACCCATGATCATCATCATCATTATTTAAATTCTAATCAAAATGTTATACATCAAAGTTTAATTCAACATGTTATACATTTCGCTGCATTAAAATCAGTTTCAACTTCACATTTAGAACCTGAAAATTATTATCAAACTAATGTGATCGGAACAGAAACATTAATCAAGATCATGAAATCAGAATCCATTCAATCTTTAATCTTTTCATCTTCTGCTGTTGTTTATGGTAAAAGATTAAATCATCAAGTTTTGAAAGAATCTGATTGTTTGATTGATCCAATCAAAGGTGCAAATGAAGAAAACCATCAAAGGGTGATGTCGCCTTATGGTTATAGTAAATTAAGGTGTGAAGAAATCGTTCATTCGGCTACTCTTGATGGGAAATTAAAAGCTGTTATTTTGAGGTAAGCATCATTCTCTCTGATTCGAATACCTGAATTCGTGGTGTTGATTTTGTTTGGGGATTTATCAGATACTCAAATCCGAGTGGAAATGATCCAAGTGGATTAATTGGAGATTCACCAAAACAACCTGAAAACTTAATCCCGATTGTTTGTGAAGTCTTAACAGGCAAAAGAGATCACCTTTGTATTTATGGTGATAAATTTAATACACAAGATGGTACAGGTCAGTAGTCATAAGGCAAAAGTTGCTCAATCCGCTTCACGTTCTTTTTAGAAATTTCAAGGATTGAGGAATTGATTTGAGTGTTTTGCTCGTTTTAGGTGTTAGAGATTTTATACATGTTCAAGATCTCGCTAAAGGTCATTTAGCTGCACTTCATTCACTTGAACAACAAAACCAACATAAGTTCAAAGAAGATTGTAGAACATACAAGTTGAGTTTCTTTTTTCACATTTCCAATCCCGTCTTTCAACACAACTCAAAGTTCTTTGAAAAAAACCATATACTAAAATCTTTTTTCGAAATTAATCTAAACAGTTTAAGCACAGGTAAAGGAACAAGTGTCAAAGAAGTTATCAATTGTTTAGAAATCATTTCAGGATTTAAGATTAAAACGATTATTAAACCACCTAGATTAGGTGATTTAGATAAAGTGATTTGTGATTCGAATAAAGCGTTTCGAGAATTGAATTGGAAATCAGAAAAAACTATTTTTGATAGTAAGTTCTTTCTTATCCTTTATTTTTCAACAAAAAGCAAAAAATGTTGATTTGTTTGGTTTTACTTTTCGATCTAGTGGCTAGAGATATGTGGACTTTTTGTTTGAAAAATCCCAATGGATTAAATTGACTCATCTTTAAATTTTAATTCATTTTTTCATCTTGATTTTCAAAAACATTCAAATCACCACATAAATATACTATGTATATGATTGAAGAATTCAGTGTTTTTCTTTTTCGTATCTTCTCGCTTTTTTGATACAAGCTTTAAGTTTTATCTATGATTGAATTGTTTTTTTGATTCGGTTTTCGGTTTGTTTCGAGCTTCTATCAATTTGTTTTATTCTTTATCATCTGTAAAAGTAAGACTCTTTTGATCTTCGATTTTTTTTGTAAGATTGGTTTTCTATTTTTCTTTTAAAGATCTGTACTTTTGCTTAACTTTCTCTTTGACAACAAAACCAAAAACCAAAACCTGATTTTTTGACCGTCAAATAACTTATCTCATTAATTTTGACTTATTTTTTTTAGGTATTTGATTAATGGGTTCTAATTAAATATTATGATGATATCATTATCTTTTGTTTCATTTATTGATTTTAAAGAAATCATCTTCTGTGCTCTTTTTTTCGAATTTCCTTTAGTTCTTTTGAAAAAACAAGCTTGAACTTTTTTGTTATTTTGTTTGAACCCATTCTTTTACTTACCAGAAATGAATGAATTCTATGAACTTGAGAAAAAAAGAAGCAAGAGAATCAAAGAAGGTTTTGCTTTTTACAACAAACATAAATTCAAATCTTCTTTGATGACAAGTACATTTTATCATTCTGGTTTTGGGGTTGTAAATTTTAAAAAGAAAAAGTAGTATTACATTTATGTGATTGAATTGAACAAAGAGCTTTTGGTAACACCATGACCATTGGCCTAAGAGAAAAGAAAAAGACTCTTACAGACAAGAATTTTCCTTCAATGAGGTTCAATCTTTTATCTGTACCCAACATATACCACCAAATGCACCATTAAGGCGACTTGTAGGTAAAATATTGATGAGGTAAGAGGCATATTTTGCTGCTTCATCCCACAAATTGATCGGTACACCAGACTGAGCAAGCAGACATCTCATTTTGACTAATAAAGTATAATTGAACTTTTCAGCAACACCGTTGGTCTGAGGGCTATTAGCAGGTCCTCTTTCAACTGATATACCCTGCTCTTGAATGTAAGTCATAAATCGAGTTGAGCTGAATTCTCCACCTCTGTCGGAATGTAGATAGGCTGGTGTTATGCCTAATTTATTTCTAATCTCCTTGATAAACGACATAAGACATGATTCAGATTCAGATTTTGTCTTCATTAGATATATACGATTAAATCTAGAGAAATCATCAATTATTACTAGCACATAATTCTTCCTAGCCTTGCACAACACGGAGACTTGAAGGACATCAAAATGTAAACGTTCGAATGGTTTCGTTGACATCGGAAGAGGGTGATTGTGAGGTCTGGCTTTTAGTTTGCATTTCACACAAATTTCACAGTTCTTTGATGATTGGAAACTATTGACTTTGATGTTTCTGAAGACCAAAAATTGTTTGAGATATTCATCGGAAGGGTTTCCAAGAATAATGTGCCAATCCGTTGAAGGTTTGATGCTTTGAATATTGTTAACTTCACTCCTTCCTTTAGCAACAAAAAGTTTCCCGTCTCGAGGGAATTTGAGTATTATGCGATTTGCCTTCCGTATTATAACACCACTCGGTACATGATGAATGGTTAAGCCATGATCTTCTAGTTGAGATGCGGAGATCAGATTTCTAGGTCCAGCGGGAACATAGAAGACAGGATAGATGATTTCCCCTCCTATGCTCATTTTTCCGACATGAGTAACAGTTATAGTACCACCATATGTATTCAATACTCTGAACGTAGGCTTCGGGTCAATGATAAGACCAAAGTTGTTGACAGTTGTGTCAGTCGCCCCCGAATCGTAAGTCAAATCGAAACTATCAGAACGTATAGATGCAGATACCGCAGAGAAAGATTCAATCATGAAACATGATCCGTCCATGGTCTCATCCTGATTGTTGTTTCTAGAGACCGAATTTGCATTCATTGATCCGGAATTGTTTGATCGATTCGACTTCATTTGATTTTCTAAACGATTCAGTCTTTCTCGCATTTCTCGAATTGATTCCTGATTCTGATCCGATCTCTGGTTTCCAAATCTGGTTGGAATTATTCCTCTAGGCCGAAAGTAGCCATTGTTCGTTTGCGAGGAAGAAGATGGATTAGGAAATTGAGGTTGAGGATTGCGAGATAGAATATGTTGATTTCTGGATTGACTATTAGGAGAATTTTGATTCAAAGAGGAAGGCTTCTTGAAACGATTGAATGCTTGATTTCGTTGATTATGAGCAAAGTTTACTGTCATATTAGATTCGACATCGTCTCGTCGATTTGCTTCCAGCATCATACTTTCATAAACACTAGCATATGTGAATGGTTCCGATTTATAAAGAGTTTGTATGAGAGGGGTTAGAGATTCATCGGAATTGAAAGACGACAGAAAAATGCAGGCATTAAGACCGGTAGACATCTTAGCAAAATCAGGCATAGATGCTAAGGAGGTTCCGAGTGAAGTTATCAGACTATTGAAATTAGAAATGTGTTCCTTCATCGAAGTTCCCACATTGTAGACAGTGTTAAAAGTCTTTCGAAGTTTAGCTGAGACGGTAACAATACATAACATTCCACATGCTCTTCCGAGGGCTTGATAGGTATGCCAGAAACTCGGGGAATTATTTATGATTATATCATGAAGGTCTGATTCAACAATGTCCCATAGGAGAGAAAAAGCCCAAGCATTTCGGACACGATAAGTTTGAGTTTCTTTGTTGTCCCGATTCCAGTCAACATCTAACAGTTTATCAAAACCTTTGCTGGTTAAAACGCTGTCGACCATGATCTGCCACTTTGCCCAGTTGGTTTGATTGAGTTTAAAGAATCTGAATTTTGAGACATTGATTCCAGTATCATATTCGGAAGAAGTTGAGGAAGTGTCCATATCGACAGAGGAAGACATATTCGATTGTATCTAATACTATAAAGTGAATTGTTGCCAAGACTAGACTCTCGCTACCATGAAAGCTTTTGAGATCTTTATGTCTTTATTGCAGCAACAATCACATATATAGATTTCAAACAACTAATATAAGACGTTAGTAAAAGAAATAAAACAGACTTTAAAAGAGACATGTAGACAATGATCAATACCTAATATAAGATCAACACTAGTAAGAACTCGGTGAGTGTAAGTGACTTCTAGGAATATTGGATGATCCCTACTATGTCTACAATAAGAAACATTAATACATATGTTTTATATTCTTTTCTTAGCAACCATCAAAGAATCTAATTACCTGAAAACAATAGATAGGTAGCAGACTCCTCCTGCAGTCAGTTACTATCAACGAGACTATGTGTCGTGGTGATCTAGTAGTTGTTGTTTTCCTAGATATCTTTGATGGGTAAAATAGAGAAATTGAGAATAAATGAAATGAGAGAAAATGATACGAGAACAAATCAAGAAAGAGAGAAAACATAAATCATAAAGAGAGAGAGAAGTTAAATCATAGAAAACATCAATAGGAGCTTAGGTCAAAACGTATGAGAAGATATTGACGCATTTAACCATTGCCAATTCCATTCCATTACCCATTACATAATTGATCATTTGACGTAGTAAACTTCAATATATCATTGACCTCTCACTGGGTATGATTTCAATTACACAACAGAAAAATCATTATGAACAATCGCGAGGTTTGAATATGAGAGGATGCAATCATCCATGTGCTAGAGGGTGTTGATATAACAGACCTCTTTTGTATTGTATTTCGAACCTCATGAGAGGCTTATTGTACAAGTTTTTTTGCTTTATTTGGGGAGCCGTCTTGCCTTGGGACCGTGCCTTCAACTGACGCCCTGTGGAATGGGATGAAGTTTGATTTATTTGATTTCTCAAATCGAATCGAATTTATTCCTTCCTTTGATTTTTGCTTTTCATTGCGATATTGTCAATGTGAACTGTTGCTGTTTTTCCGTGAAGATGAAGTTTACGACGCTTTGAAACAACAGGAAAATAAAAGTGCACCTGTGGTGAGACCAGCCTTTTTGCATTGTGCATCCCGGTACTCCGGTGATGAAGTATTTGTAAGTCGATTGCATATGTTGGAGTATACGCGGCTTGTGAAGTGAGGTCATTGAAATCTTAGAACTGATGTCTTCTGATGGCAGCATGCGCTTTGGAAATAGTCAAACATCAACGAAGAGGTATACCGTATGAACATCAATATCGAATGGTAAACTAAATGCTTGGAACAAAACTTTGGCAAAACTTTGCACACAAGGAATGTATAGCCCAGGAGCGCATTGGTGAGAGTGCAAAGGTTTTCCTAAAGATCTAGATTGTTTGTAGACAAGTGAGTGTATATACCAGGTGGTGGCCATAGCATAGTAACCGATGGCTGAGTGACTCCTGTCCTGACACTTTGAAGCGGACCTGCTTGAAGTTTAGATTTACTTGATTTTTTCAAAGTCATCGTTCTCATCCTTTACAACTTGACCACGATCGCAACCAAGAAAAAATATGATTGATGACTCGAATACCCGCATACATAGTCTAAATAGGCCATCGACCTCACCCAAAGCCGAACTACCTTTTGAGATTGTGTCTATGATTGTTGAAATCCTGTTCGAACACCACCTTTCTCAGCCAAAGTACCCGGAATGGTCCTTCAGCATTGCCTCTGACCCATTCCTTTACTCGTGGGTTACTCCCGAATTCCTTGGCTTGCGATTAGTTTGCAAAACTTGGGCACTAGCTGCCACTCCCATTTGCTTTCGCACTCTTTGGTTCCGAGACTCGAGTCACGCGCAGATCATGATCAACCTGATGACAGGCCCAGTGCAAGCGTTGGATTTCTCCTCCTTCGTCAAGCGACTTGCATTCCAAGACGCAGGGTACTGGAAAGGTGCGCTCAGCAATCAAGCCAATCATCTCGGGAGATCTGACATCAGGTTCTCAAATAGATAGAAACGAGGGTGACAATCCGATGCTATGTGACCCGAACTCGACGGATGAAGTGGTAGATTTGATTAACTTGATTGGTCAAAACACGACCGAGTTGTATCTGAAAGTTCACGATTCTATTATGATCACATCATCGCTCGTAGAAGCTGTGAAGAACATCAAAGGTCTCAAGAAACTCAGTATTGAAGCAAGACACGATTATCAACCAGACGGCGGTTATGATTCCCAAGCGTTTTCTGATCTTCTTGTGGCTCATCCCAACCTCGAATGCTTAATCCTTCATGGGTACAATCTAGAAACTTTATCACTAGGAGAAACAGCCCTGTCAAAACTCAAACACATCAGCTTCATTGATTACTTCGACGCTATAAACATTGAGGGGATGACCCAGATCTGTACGTTGGCAAAACACAGTCTGAAATCGATCGAGTTCTTCTCTTATGAAGTGGATCAAGGAGATTATTCTGAGATGATCGAGCCCTTATTTGAACCCATCATGAACACACTTGAATTTATTTCATGTAATTCAATTGACAGCGAGATACCACAAGATACCATTGATACGGAGTTTCCACGACTTCGTGTAATACACATGGCGTCTTATGGCGGCGAGATCATTGAGGGGGATTGGCCAATCTTTCATCACGTTCGAACGATTTCTCAGTCGCTTGATGATGGGCAAAAGTCTTGGAGAAGAACTTTAAATCAAACTGCTGATGTTTCTTGGAAACCACCCAATCTTCGACTTCTCGTCTTTACTGAACCAAACGCAATCTCCGCAAGAGACGAGGTGATGGATGAGAAACTAATCAATGCCTTAAAGATGCATGGGATCCATTGTTGTTACTATCCCAAAATAAAACCAGATGAACTATTGGTCAGTCAATATCTATAGTGCATATATCATAGCATAGCTCAAGGTATGAATACTCACGCTTTGGGTTACTCTATGGCTAGGAATTGGACTTGAGGTTCAATGGTCCCATGAAATAAGTTGATGTACATTATTATGGAGTCTGTTGAGTTTGTAACAAGTGTATCGAATATCTTATGTAACAATTAGCCATCATCAAACTCAAATAATCATTAAGCTCAACTAGATCCTTGGACAATTATAAATCAAACGAGTCTTGCATCACTTATATGCTATCTTGTTTTTTATTTTTTATTTTCAATTTTTTTCTCTTCATCTCATCTATGTTTGTGTTTCAAAATCGCATACTCCTTTTCTGAGCTTGCCAGTACATCTCAAAAACAAGGAAGCTTTGGCCTTGGCGTACTTGGATCATTGAACCTGTCGTAAAGGCTTAGCAGTTCAGTACAAAAGGAAACGGTAAACCTCAAAATCAGTCGTAAAACCCCTTTATTTTACCGTAGACCTTATGGTTGGCTAGTAAGATGGGAAATCAAAAGCACTTTAAAGTAAAAAAGGAAAAAAGCTCCTCTAGTAAGCAAGTTTGTCCGTTTAAAGCAAGATTGCTCAAGATTCTTGCTGGTCTCGGGGCAAACTTGGGATGAAGTCCTAAGCCACCCTTTGAGGACGCGGAAACCGCGCTCGCTAAAGCGGCTTAGTTAAGCTTAAGCTTAAGCCATTGTGCTACCTGGAGGCATTGTGTTTGGTGCAATGTAGATATGTACTTGATCATCATAAATAGTGGTATTCAAACTCTGGTTGAGGATAGTTACACAGTTGTCAATATGAGATTTAATTTTTGATGTGGAAAATTATTTATAGGTCATTTGCAAGATTGCTCATGATGTAAAATGGCAATGTTTAACATATTCGACATCAATTTATAATCTCATTCCACTATAGCTTTGGTATATGATATTAGTAAACTTAATTTGTGTCAGTGATATGGTGATTTCTACACCTGAAGGCTCATGAGTTTCCTATCTCAAAATTACGAAAGCTTTGATATCTACAAACTGCTTAGTCTATCATAATTGGCAAGGGAGAGACAAAAGGAAGTCTAGGTAACAAGAACAAGTTATCGTCTTAAAATTCACTCGATCAGAAGTGGTGAGGTTTATAGTGCTTGGGACAGAATGAAGTCTTCCGGAAAGATCTTGTTATAATTCTTGTTTTGTAAAAATTATGCGATTGAATTGATCTAGGCAACTCAACATGGTGAAGCTTGAATTTTCATCCTATCAAGTATACCTCAGAAAGTCTAGGATTGAGGAGATATGACAGATTCGTAAATGGATGAATATAGAAATGATACATGCTAAAATTTCAAAAAAAAGAATCAAACAAAACAACAGAACAATCGAATAAACCGCCTACCATTCCTCATCAGCAGTAGTAGTAGTATCTTCTTCATACCCTAAAAACAAACAATTTAAAGGAAATCATCGGCTCAGTGTTTGATGATGAAGAAAGCTGAAAGGAACAGAAAACTTACAACTTCCATCTGCTTCATGAACTTCTCGATGAACAGTAGTAACCGAATGTCTTTCTTCATTATCATCATAACCACCATTCATACCCCCACCCCCACCACCATTTCCATATTCCAACATTCCACCTCCACCTCCACCATAATTTCCACCACCGTAATTATTAGAACCTCCTTGATATTCATGTTGACGTTCACCTAAAAAAAGAAATACAAAATGTTAAGGATGCGTTACAAAAAGTATTGATAATGATACAAAGTTTTTTTTTGTTTACCTTGGTTCAGTCCGGCCATATACGCTGCACTTTCCTTCCTTTCTTCATGTTTTTCATGTTCTTTCCATTCATGACTGGCAAAAGCCCCCAAAGCTAAACAATTCCCGAAAAGCAAATCAAATTTAGAAAACTTCAAAAGAGACTCGAAACGTCGATATGAATGCCATAAATTTGAAAACAAAGAAGCTCACCTAAACCTCCAGCAGCACCTAAACCAGCTCCCATTAAGCCAGACATTCCACTTTTAGGTTTATTACCCTTAGTGACCGGAGGTGGACCCGAAGCAGCAGGCGGAGCTCCACCATAAGGTTGAGAAGGAGGAGGTTGACCGTACCCATTAGAAGGTGGTGGACCTCCATACCCATTCAAAGGTTGTGCTCCATAACCATTTTGACCAGCTGGAGCTCCGTATCCATTTGGTTGATTGAAAGCTCTTTGATCATTAGAAGGTGGTGGTGGTCCAGGAGGAGGACCAAAGTTTTGTGGTTCTGGAAAAGTCCATTGTGAAACGGGTGGTTGAGCTAAAGTATTAACGTAATACCAAGCATTATGTTGACCATTCCATTCTTTGATCCTATTAAGTTGTATATGAAAAATCATTCGATTAAGTGAACGGTTCCGTAAAAAATCAAATTAAATAAGAAGCTCACCAGCCATGTGGTAAAGGTCTATCATTAGGATTAGGAGGAGGACCCGAGTTATGTTGTGGAGGTTGCCATTGTCCATTCTGAGGAGGACCATTGTTCCAGTTCTGTTGTTGCTGAGGTGGAGCATTATTCCATTGACCTTGTGGTGGTTGTCCACCGTAATACGGTTGTTGTTGAGCATACATGTTGAAGGAGATTAGAAGGTGGTATTGTATGTGAGGATATTGATTTGATGGATTTGCTTTTGAGTGATCTCAGATATTTATTGTAAACTGTGTGATTTGGTGTGTTTGATGCACAAACGCCGAGCGGTTGAGCACAGCCTATATATCAATTGGAACTACTAATTCATCTCTCGTCATCAGGGGGCTTAACGCCTGCTGCAGTGCTGCCTCATATCAAAGAAACCGACCGATCTCTACATGAAAGAAGTTTCACATTTGTTTTTCTAGTTTAATTACCAATCCTGTCTGATCCCTTCAAGTCTAGCCTTCCCGATGTTGATGAAATTGTAAAAACATTCAAATCATTTCGATCCTTGTTAAAACTTTAAGGTGATGAGGGATCATAAACTGATTGAAGATCAACTTTCTATTACGTACTACAAATTTGACATAGGCTGAGCCTTGAGGGGGCTGATCTTCCTGGCGACAGATCTTGAGCGGACAAAGTTTAGAACCAAGGGCATGTAGCGCCATTTCGTCACAAAGTCGTATGGGTCTCGCTAGGTCTCGCTTCCTGATCAGGCCCCACAAGCCCAAAGTGGATCTCGGGAAGTTGAGACAGAGAGAAGATTTTCAATGAAAGCAAACTCTTCTAAGCTGTCATCAGCCACTACCTAGACTCTTGCCGTGCACATACTGGACACTGACAGTCCGAGTCATTCAGAATGGTCGCACTCAATCATAATCTTCTTTGAGATTAGTTCTATTGGACTTTCGTAGTCCTATATGCATCAAATTTTAACGCAACCACAAGGCAAACTATCGCCAGGGGAAGCACTATACAAAACTGTTTTGTTCATTCTCTTGTATTGAGTATGCGATATATTTGGGGAATTTACAAGCTGAATAAGATATATGATATTTTCATCAAAAAAGGCCTTTTCAGAAAAATGTGATACCTGTAAAATCATCACAAATTACAAAAAACATAGAGCCATTAAAACCCCCTGTAGTTAAATATGTTGATTTTAGATATAGATTATTGATCTTTCTTCGATTTTTCCATTCGAATTCGTTTAAGTTCAACTCGACGAGCAATTGAACGTTGAAGATTAAGATTATATTGTAACCAAAAATTCTCGGTTCCAAATCGATCCACAAACCATTGAACGAGTGCATGAGCTAAATAACCAGTTGAAATATACGCTTTTCCAATCGCTCCTCCTTGTAAGCCTATCGTATCAAGTACACTTTTCACGTAGGTCTTGGGTGATGGGATCATAAAACTCGATTTTCTTATCTTGGACATCTCTGAAGCCTGTGTAATGATAGGTAGGTATAATTAGCATTGATCTTTATACAAAAAGTTGACTCGAATTCGATTTATGTAGATATTGGATTTCAAACTTACCACGAAATAAGTATTCAATAATCGAACATGAATTCCTTTTGGTTTTAGTTCAGTACCAAGAGCTTGTGACCAAGTATAAAGAAACCCTTTACTCCCAGCATAAGTGGCAAGCATAGGAGTAGGTACAAGTGCACTAAAACTTCCAACATTAAGGATAAGACCAGCCTTTTGAGGTAACATGAATGGTAACGTCATTTTGGTTAATCGTACTGGAGCGATCACATTAACAGCTGTGATTGACTTGAGTTCATCTAGAGGAGTCGATTCAAATTCGACTGGTGAAGCATGAGATAATCCTGCATTATTGATGAGGACTGAGATAGGTGCAATCTTGGCTGCTGATGATAAAGCTTCTTGAAGTGAACTCCAATCTGATTCTGAAGCGTTTTCGAGATCGATCGGATGAGATTTAATTTGATTTGAACTCTTCATGGTCGATTTTAATTCATTTTCAAGAGTGGTTAATTTAGATGGATTTCTACCAATCAAAAATAAACTAAAACCAGCTTTAGAAAGTTGTAAAGCAAATTCTTTTCCAATTCCACCTGTTGGACCTGTGATCACCGCCCAATTTGACGGACCATCTTTGTTTAATTTGTTCTTTGATAAACTTGATAATTGTAATCTGAACGGTTTAGAAAGTGGTGTGAATGTAAGTAAGAGGCGGATTAGAGAGATTGGATATTTAGCGAGGGTGATGAATCCTAGGAAAGTCAATGAAAGGATAATCCATGCACTTGTTTCAGCTTCAAGATAGAACAGAAAGACGTATGGTCAGCTTTTAGTTATACCATCATCGATCACATTCGAAGAACATAACTTACATCGTGCCTCAGTTCTGAGCCAGCCAAGAGGAACTTGAAGAAGGTTCGAAAGCATGATGGACGATTGAAAGGAGTGGTCGAAGTGAAGTTGAGGAAATCCGAAAGTGAAGTTCGAGTTAAAATACCGCGGAGCACCTCAGTTTAGGGGTCACACTCTACGGTCCGTCCTTCCCTCTGAACATCACCCCACCCCAAATACATACGCCATCCAACAGTTTCCAATCACCAGGCTGACTCCTGAAGCAGATCACTATCATTCATCCCCAACCAACGTCAGTTAAACTCTCCATTGTTTTTCAATCTTTGTACTCCTCCCGCTTCCACTTCATCTCTTACTGTCAGTTAAAGATCTGGATCTTCAATAGGAGTCCTGAATTTACATCTCAGTATTCATTTCCTTCAATCCAGCTTGGTGCAAACCTCCTGGTAAAATCAAACTAAGCTCAAGAGACGAGCTCATATTGTATTTGGGGAGCAAGCCTGAGGATAGGTATGAGCCCTTCTTCAAGTTGCCTCCTTGTCCTTGTAGCTGGTATTGTACGCAACATTTCCATACCTGCAACATCTGCAACACACAAAAACTGATCAAACGTGTATAAAGCCTCAGGTGGTGCAAAGTCTCTTGGTTTGATAAATGAGATGTTGCAGTCAGGACAGAATGATTGGAGTGGGCATCTGCCGAAAATATTTGCAAGAAGACCGTCACTGTCAGGATATATTACAATACTCTGGCCACTTAGTTATGAGTTCGTATAGATCACGCCAATGCCAGTGCTTCAGACAACTTTACTACAAGATTCTGAAATGTATGAAACATTTCAGAATGTCCAATGGAGAAATGGATCAAATTCATCATCTAGAATGAAGGTATCAAAAGCTTTATCAAGTAGATATTCAGAGAAGGTGAAACAACATGTTGAACTACTTGAAGAGGAAAAAGTACATCAAGCCATTCTTCCTCACTGCTTCTTGCCAAGATTTTCTGGTGTCTCTTTGCTCTTTTTAACAGAGAGTCTCAAGGAATAATCAATCTCTTCACAAAGAATGAACAATAAAAGCTAGAAGATTACCAAATCTGGTTGAAAAGACAATGGACTGATGATGAAGCGGACATGCTATACAAACACTGGGCTTCACATGAGTCATCATTCTTATCATTATCAAAGATGAAGTCTTACATGGAACATATTTCATTTGAAGACATGATTGTATGTATATGTGAAAGGAAATTTTGTCCGCAAAGAAATCCTTGAAACCCAAGCAATTCATGTCAATTTGATAAAGTTGAGCAATTTTCTTCCCATGATGATGGGTTACCTAATGCCATATACAATAGGCAAATGTATTAAGGCTTGATTGACTCATAAATCAAAGGACTTATTGCCATTGGACAGGGTTAAATATTTGGACCATAAGTGGGTCAAAATTTTATATATTCTCTTGAGGATTTAAGGCTGACTACAGATCATCAATCCAATTTGTTCAGCATCAATTAGAATTTAGTCATGGTATCTGTACTACCGAGCATTATAATTAGAGTGATATGAAGAGAATCCAAACATTCTGGGAAAAGTGTGAGTTGGGTTCAAAGTTTTTGATAGTCATTCATACTTGAACTTGAATCACCGCCAAGAAATTCACGTCGGAAAGCCCTTCCTGTTGTCATTTCGGGAAGGGCGCCCCGATGCAGAATCGCGCCCAAGTCATGCGATTAGACAGACTTCCGATCCGCAATCGAGCACGCACCACGCGACTGATTGTTCAGTCCGTTTCAAAAACGCGCGGGCCCATCCGATTGAACACAGCTCCGATTTCAAACCGCGTGGGTGGCATCCGACTGAGCCTCAGCCCGATGCAAACACGCAAAATACGTGTCCGACTCAAACCCGAATGCGATAGAATCATCCGATCGCGTAGCCCTCAACCGAGGCCGCCTCTACCCCGCATCCCCGATGCAATCTCGCGCCCGATACAAAATCGGTGATCATCTTGCGACCCAATCATATCCGATGCAATCGAATTTGCGAATGAATTTTGCATTTTGGCTTGTGATCCAATCCCTGATCCAAAATGACAAACATTTTATTTGAAAAAAGTGTATGTAAGTGAAGGAAAAAGAACAACAACTATATATACGAAAAAAAGTTTCCATAACTGATACTACTATCTATGTTCCTTGTTCCTAATCCTTCTGTTCTCTACAAATTACCTCTCAGCGCCAAATAGCTATTATGTAATCCTTTTAGCCTTATTATGAAAACAGCCGTTTACGACTGAGAACTTGCATGGCTCATGAAGTTCGGCTTCGAACTTCGAACTTCGAGCTTTGAACTTCGAACTTTGAAGTTCGACTTCGAACTTTGAAGTTCAAAGCTCGAACGTCAACTTGGAAAGCACAGCACTTTCAGCTTGAATCTTTTCAAAATTTGACAAGATAAAAAAAACACAAATACGACATCAATAGACGAACCGCCAACATTTTTTCAAAAACAAGTAATCAGACTTTTTTTGCAAACAAGTAGAATTTCTTTCTTGAAAATAAGTAGATTTACTCATTGAAAAAGTGAGACAAAACAATATTTAAAAAACAGGGTTTTTTGTAAACAAGTAGATTTTCTTTTTTTGAAAGCAAGTAGATTTTCTTTTTTTGAAAATAAGTAGATTTTCTTTTTGGAAAATATATCTTTTTTCTTGACATCAAGTTAGTAGAATTTTTGAAGCCAAGTAAATACTTTTTTTTGGAAAACAAATCTTTTTTGAAATCAAGTTAGTAGATAATTCGAAAAAAGTTAAGGCGGATTTTTTCTGGAAACAAGAAGTAAAATGAAATCCAATCTATAGTTTTTGTAAAGGCTTGAGGGCGTCATTCACTTCCTTCTTATATTCCTTCCACTTATCTTGATCTCCCTACGTATAGCCAT